CCCCACGTCAGTCGGGCTGGAAGGCTCATCTTAAGATGCTAATTATGCCAGGATAACTTTATCCCTTGAACTGACCTAATCATCACAAGTTCTTTATTTACCAAGCTGAAAAAAGAAACCATCTAAAAGCTAGAGAAGAAACAAGCTAAAAATGCTTCAGTCTCAAGCAATTACCACTATTGTCTTCATGGAAAAAGAGCTGAGAGAGGTTTTCTAAAACTGTCCATGTGTATAAAGGGCATAGTGTAACGTGCTGTCTCTTAGCACTACTCTAAGCCTAATGTWCATTATTGTGGCTGTGAAAATCTGTATTCACATTAAGTTGCCGTGAAGAAGCCAKATAGAAGAAAGTATCAACCTGTTAGTTTATCATCCTTAAAAAAATTATTTAATTTGAACTTGACTGTTTTTGATATTAGTTGCAAAAGAATGTCTGTAGTGTTCATGGACAGAACAGATACAGTTCCAACTTAGTTTATCATTTAGCYCAACTCCACAGGTCACCAGAACAAACAATAACTCCTACATCTTGTTTAAYTGGCTCCTTGGCCAATACATCAATGGCTCATTACCCTTTTAGTCTTACACGAAGCATTAAGGGTGTTCCAGTGAACGTAGCACTRCTGTCAATATATTCCCCTTTGTTAAGTAGACATGAATAGATCCAATACTAGTAAATTTCTAAGAGATTTTGGGAAATGAAGGTTAYCACAAAGATAAAAGACTTTAATAGGCACAGCAACATCTTTTWTAGCCATCATGTGTGCTGTCATCATGTATGTGTATAATTATATTCTGCAGTTCATTTACATTTTAAATGTGACAAATGAATTAAAATTATTTCTGCAGTAACAAGTGAAACATTCAGYGCCACAATCAGCACTATTGAATATCAATATTAAAATGTTGCTAATTGTTGGACTTGAGCCATGGACCTTAGCACTTTGAAATTTGCTAAACTTTCTGCTCAAATTGTACCAAAGCATGAATTCATAAATTATTAATGTAGATTTGAATCTTGTTCCTGGTGACTCCATGTCAATCATGTAGTTACATCGATAGCTGCACAGTAAAAATAAATGTATAACTCTTTTCCAGCATGTAATGACAGGATTTTCAAATATTATTTCATGTAGTAGATCATTATTCTGTACACTCCCAGCAGTCCAAGTCACAGTTAATTTTTTTGTGTGACCTGAGATATTATCTGTTTTAATATAAAAATTTTCAATAGATGTGAAATCATGCAATGTCACAATAGAAAATTATATCACACACACACACAACACTGTGTGAAAAAGAGAGGAAAGGTCATCTGTCACAGGTATTCTTCTGGTTTATTTTAAGAGATGGTCTCATGTTTCTTCTGGTAGTTTCAGCTTGGAAAGAGCRGGGAGGATCTTTCAGAATGGTTAGWAGATTATCCAAAGAGGATTTCTTTGTCATTGAATATACTCAATAACTGTTGTAATTTTGAACATTTTGGGTCCAAAGACCTTTGGAGTGAAGTGGTAACAGAACAATTGGCTCAAGGAGGTTTACCCTTCTCTCAGATCTTGAAACAAATATATTGAATAGTATAGCTTGATTTTTAAGACAAAAAGTAGTATAAACTGAAGCTGAATCCACAGACCTKTCTTGGCCCCTATTCCCTTATGCACAATGCTCCATCCAGAGTTTTATGGCTCAGAAAGCTCAACSTTAGCACAACTTGTGGTTCAGGTGTCTGTGACTGTGCAAGGTCAAGGATCAGCTTCTCCCAAGCAGAAACAAGGGCTGCATCTCCCAACCTGACTACCCCTGGCCGGCTAGGAAAAACTTACTGATTGTCAGCTCAGAAGCTGAACAGTGTATGAATGTACAGTGCAGTCATATTTTAGCCACCTGCTATGTACACTGCCCAGTAAATAACTGTGCGTTCTAACAAGGTTACATACAATTCTTCGTGCAGAATTTATGCAGAAGATACCCAAAGAAAATTGTCATAATTGAAAGGTTACAGGGTCACTCAGAAATGTATGTCATGTACAAATTTAAGAGCACAAAAACAAGMCAGAAACTGGAGTCATTAAAAAAATTCACACTTTTTTTTCCTTGTCCTCCAGAAAGCTCCAGACAAAGCTGAACCCAAAGTGACATCTCTCAGGATGCATTTTGTCAATTCCTCATGCTTTTTAGAGGCAGTAAAGATTACAAACAATGTTTTCACAAGCCTCTAAGAGACTGTCCTGCTGGGGACAGTTTGTCTTCCGACAGTCTCGATTACAAGCAGGATTGTTGTAATGTTTGCCTCAATAGTCAGAGGAGAGACTGGCTGTCTGATGCTAGAACTGATTTTGCTTTGCTTTGCTTTCCAAACTCACTTCTAAAATGTCCTTCCAGAAGTGATCTTTACTAGAATGAGAGTCTAGAAAAACCTYTCTTTAGTCTTTCTTGCTGTCATCTTATTTCATAGGCACAGAGATGAGATAATGTAAAAAACCACCTCTGTCAAACAACAGAACTGCCAAGACTCAAACAAAGCTGTAATTCAGAARTCCCTAACCYKGCTCTCACATCAAGTAATAGAAAGSAATGGCCAAGSACTGATTCACCATGAACTTCATTGTCAGCCTGCTGTGCTTGCATAAGGATGTAAGGATCACCCTTCTATCCCCAGAGAACTTCTTACATGCTCGAAGAGCAACTGGGCAGGTGAGATGAGCAATCACATGTTTTCACAGGGAAGAAACTTTCAAGAGWTAGAAATCATTTGACAGATAAAAATTCTATTTTTAAATTAGTATTAAACTAATTCTTAAACTGGAATGATGTGCTTGATGAAATTATATTCTGATTCAACAGGGTTATTAAATAAAATGAGTAATCTCACTGCAGTCAATAATAGAGCAATATAGTTTTAASAACCAGCAGTCAGACAGAGCATTTGGAAGGTTAAGGGTGGATTGTGAACAAGTTTTTTTTTGCTGGATTGGGCTTGTTTAGCAAGGCCCTCTGTTGTGTGTCTAGCATACCCCATTTGCAAATCTACCCCTTAAGCACAGTAATATATAATACAGTATATTTCTTATTTTCTTTTTTATTCACTGTTGTGGTTTAACCCAGATAGCAACCAAGCCCCACTCAGCCCCTTACTCACTCCCCAAGCAGCAGGAGCAGGGAGAAGATCTGAAGGGTAAAAGGTAGAAAACTCACAGGTTGAGATAAAAAAATGTTTAATAGGGGAAGCAGAAACTGCACACAAAGTTAAAGMAAAACAGGAAACAAATCCACTGGTTCCCATGGGCAGGCAGGTGTTCAACAAACCCCAGGAGAGCAGGGCCCCATCACAGATAACAGTTATTTTGGGAGACACCATCACTCCAAACATCCTCCTTTCATCCTTCTTCCCCCCACCCTTTATATACCGAGCATGATGTCATTTGGTCTGGAATRTCCCTTTGGCCAGTTGKGGTCACCTGTCCCAGCTGTGAYTCCYCCCAACATCCTGTGCACCCCCAGCTTTCCTTCCCAGCGTGGCAACATGAAAAACAGACAAGGCCTTGGTGCTGTGTGAGCCCTGCACAGCAATAACAAAAACATCMAAAACATCTCCATATTATCAACCCTGTGTTCAGCACAAATCCAAAAAATAGCCCCATACTTGTACTGTGAAGACAATTAACTGGGTAGCCCAGCCAAAACCAGCWCAGCTGTTCTGTTCTACTGTTAAACAAACAGTTAACTTTGAAACTTGTTGATCACTAATGACTCAGAGTTTAAGTACAACATCAAGCGCAACAAGATTGCCTGAAACATTAGTGGTTTATTTTCAAATCTTTGTAAAGCCCAGCAYTGGAAGCAGCTTTTAAATCACCTAGCCATTTAATATCTTACAGGTGCTTTGAATGGAGTGAGAACAGCTATTTATACTTCTGTGCATTGCGAAAATGCACTTAAAGGTATGTGATGACACGTAGCCTTCAGTACCTAYAAAATGTCTGTGAGAAGGCATGCGGATGCATGTGCTTTKTTATGGATTAGGGAATGATCAGGAAAGACCATCCCAGGAACACTGTCAGGACATTAAACACACTCACACTTCACTTATTTTGCAAAGTCATGGTAACTCTGCTGCTCTCCAACACATTTGGATTAGTTGAATTCTSTCAAACTACACTGAGCTTTAACAGTTCTTATTTATCTCCTATATATTTTTGGTTTGATTGGGAACATCTCTGGACTAGGGCAGGTTCCCTGCATTGGTGAAAAAGAGAAAAATTTGAAAATGGTGTCTCAGTTTAATTTTTTTTTTTTCAGCTATTACATTTCAAACATGATTGCATTATGTGGGACYATATTTAATGTTCAGTTTCCTTGTMAGAAATGATTCAATGCCTAGAAGCMTTTAGAAGCTTTGAAAGATTTAATTTAGTGTATATACAAGTACCCAAAAAATATGTTCTTGTGCATGCAGGAATTTTTATAGAAGTGAGTTTTTAATTACCCAAAATGATCCAAAATATCTGCATCATGAATTGGTGCATTGTGGAGTTACAAGAATTTTGCAAGGCAATTCAAAATTTTGCTGAATGATGTCTAGCACTTTGAGAAAAAGATGTCTGTTTCTTTCCATGACATTCGCCCAAGGGATTAGGAAAAAAAAAAAGGAAAAAAGATCAGTGCTTTGATGCTGGCAAACTAGTGCTAGAGAGCTTATCACACACAAACCAATCAATTCCTCAAAGTGATTTTSTCTGTAAGAAAGCTCTGGCAGCACAACAAAAGATTGGGATAGAGTAAAGATTTGTGTATTTTTATCATTATACTTATCCACAGAGAGAACTTACTATGTAAATAAATGGAGAAGCACTAAAAAATCTACAATCTGTCTAGAAAAGGTTTAAAGGGAATTTTTCCCTCCTATTAAAAAAAACCAAAAACACCACTTTAAAACATCACCAGGATATACAGTACAGGAACAGAACAYGAACACAAAATGAGACTCCTTGCCYATCCACGTGCTCAAACCCTAGAYTGGTCAGTCYAGGAGASTGATCCCATTTCAGTGTGCAATTAATCATTAGCAACTTCCCCACACATGTCAGAGAAATGCCTGTGTTTTGCACTCCTCTTAAGTTGGAACAAGAGAGCAGCAGCATCCTTCCTTTGTACACATCAACAAGCTGTTATAAAATAAAGTGGATTGATATGGATGCAGTTCTGACATGAACTAGACAGGAATTATTTTGCATTCCAGTGGCCTTTCCATACTGCTCCTAGTCATAGGCACATCAGACTGTTATGTCCTAAATCAGCAAATCCAATTTCCTGCTATCTCAGTCCCATCGCTATGCGTAATCCCTTTCATGATTAAGCTACTCTTGTTTAAAAGAACTCCTTGCTCTAAAATAGGGCAACTGCTCCTTCACAGCCCTCAGCACACAATCACTTGATTCTGCTGCTAAATAGATGAAAACATGTCTCAGATGCAGAATGTCTCTGGGAAAGCAGACAGGAAACATGTTCACTGAAATAGCTCCTCAATGCAGTCCATGCCCATCAGGCGATGCCACAGTCATGCACTTGTGTCGTCAGAAATCCGATGGAAGCCAAAAGCTTCCACAGAAGTCAAAAGCAGAAACAAGACACGCAAAACACACCCCTCCTAAGTTGCTTCCTTAACCTGCAAACTATTTGAGGGCAAAAGCATGGAATAATGCACAGACCCCACCCAGCACAGAGAGGTCAGAGATCCTTAGTGCTTCTTCAGCTACAGTGTGAGGCAGTTTGCTGCTKTGTGTGCTTCAGAAAGAGCTGCTGCCAGCAGTAGCTCACCCAYTGAGTACTGCAGTAGTTTTCTCAGAATTCTCTAGTCCAGCTGGGTGAAAATTACTAAATCAACWGTAGTCAATGTTAATATTAGATTGAAAAAGAGATAAAGATCTTGTCATCATTTTTGGCTTTCAGAAAGGTGAATATCCACACAGAGTCATACAGGAACTCCAAACACTCAACCCCTTTGAAAACTCACTTTTATTAAGAGACCCAAATGAAGACAGAGGTACTTTCCCCGAGTAAGACTTTGTAAAGTTAGTTTCCAAAATACTGTTCTCAGTGTTTTGAAGTTATATCCATGCCATTTTCTTTAGTCTGCTCTGGACTTGGCAGAGGTAAATTTCCAATTAGTATTTCCTTTTKTGTGTGTGTGTGTTCCAGAAGCTGTACTGCATCATAGRCAGCACCTAATTTTATCAAATGCTTATAGGTCAGGGATCTGGCATGTGTCATTTCACCTCTGAGAGGATATTTCCAGTAAGCATAGTTTTCAGTTTATACTTGAGAATGAATGTTGAGATGATTCAAAACTTCATGATAAATTACAAGTGAACTTTAAAAATGTGATTTGGCAAACATACTACATGTTCAGTGTGTWACAGTACGGTAATCAGTAGCTGTCTGAGGAGGAGATCGGCAGTTCTTCACCAGGGAAAGGTCAAGGAATATAACATGAGCTACTTTTCTAAAYAGGAGGGAACATAAATATTCTCAGACAAAGAGCTATCACATTTTGCCTTCAATATGAACCTGTAACTGGAGGAACTGTTTTTGTGGACATGGACAATAATAAGATAATGTTTCTCTTTATAGAAGGAGAAGTAACTCTGCTTACTCAGAACAAGGTGTAAGGATGTCTGGATGTTGATCAAAATTCTCCCTATCACTCCTTATGTGATCTGGGAGCACCATTTTAATTCTGTTACATGTGAAATGATTGTGAAGTTTAATTCATGCTTGTGAATGCTTGAAATCTTGGAATCTGCAGTAACACATTTTTTTTTTTTTAAATTCAGCTCTTCTTTCTAGTATTCTAAATTGAAATAAAAGACAATTTCATTAAGCAAGTGTAATCTTTTTGCATGTCAAACACTATGATTCCTGAATCYTGGAGTTTGGTTTGGGGGTTGATCCKGTGCAGTGCACTTTGTTCCTAATGMAATAAAATGTGTGAGTCCATTTAAGCATGAACCTCACTCATGGTGATTGCTCTTTTGCTTAAAGCGAGCATTTGCTCAACACAATGTGAATTGAAGCCGAAGTACTTATAAACCAGTGGACTAAATACCTGTATTAATACTGTTACTTGTGAGAGACCTCCCCACTTATAATCCTTTGAAGGTGCTCTCATATGGCAAATTGTGATTCTGACTTCAAAAAACATCTTCAGTTTTGGGGTGTTTCCCCTCAGAAGCAAAGGAAGGAGCAAGTCCTCGTTCACACTTCTAACTGTATCAGCTTGCATAATTAAAGATAATACTCTTCCCTTTAAAGGATCTTTTATGCAAATCAGCATATTCATCATTAAGAAAAAACATGAGCTTGAGATTATAGCATCTAAYTTTATTCCACATTCTGAAGCTTCCYGAATGCTTMCAAAACATTTATTTCAGATKTYGTGAAAACAAGTTTTAGGCATCTGACAGTCATACTGGTTATGCACAAAACATTTGTGGTTTTAGTCTCCCCAATCCAGGGCACATAAGAAATGTTTCCATATCCAGTATAGACTTCAGGAGGAAAAAAAATACAGTACATTTAAGCTTTCCCTCTTTATTGTTTACTAAATACAGTGCAACACAAGTAATATTGTGTAATAATTACGCTGTGGAAAGTACTACTGTAATGTAATGTGCACTTACAATCCAGAAGTAAAAATTTACTCATCTAAAATGATTTCACTCTAAAGGAACAAACAGTTTTGGCCAGCTGGGTACACACAGGGTACACAGCTGGTCGGCTRAGTTGTCTCTTCCACAGTCCATCAAACCCACCAAACAAAGGGAGCAGGCTTGAATTCTACTTTTTGTRGGCAGTTTAGAATAGGCTGCATCACCTGTTCTATAGCAAGGATACGTTGAACATACTTTTGCATGCAATGAAATTCACTAGACTAAGAAAATTCTAAATTAAAAAAAATTAATGAATTAAGTAACAAAACTTTCTTCAGAGGACTATTATTTGAAGTCTGCAGCCTGTGATCAGCCAAATGCAGTGTTACAGTCTTGTCAGCAAGTTTGGGGTCTGCTAGAACTTGCAGTGTCTAGCATTTCATCTGAAGTGAAATGCTCTGTAAACTCTGTAAATGGCTGTTCTAGCAATGACATACATCTCTCCAGAYACTAAAAGTAAAACAATGAAAGCCAGTCAGTAAATACATGCAAAATAATTTGCCTTTACAATAAGAAATACTTGCTGTTTACAGTAAGCAYTACTTGTAAGCTCAGTGTTTGTAGCATTATTTGTGAATGGGTGGATTTTGGGYTGGAATACTGCAGTTCAGAGATCAATGCCAGTGCTTCCTGAGGGATGTTGAGCTCAGCAAAGGGATGCATGCTGCCAGTCTCTGAAAATCTGGAAAGCCTGGAAGATGTTAAGCCCTTTGCCCATTCTCAGAAGCTGCTGAATCCTTGTCCCTCCCAGAAGAACTTGTTCTTGCTGCAGAAGCCCCCTCAGATTCAGGAGTCCTGAGGCTGCCATTGCCCAGGCCTTCTATAAATAACAGGCTTATTTGCAAGTGTGGAGTAGGACAGCTCCTCAACTTGTGGAAATTCTTTACCCTTAATTTGAACATGARATGTTTAATAGGAAACTGGTAAAATAAGACTTAATTCAGGTCCCATTTGTCTGTTATTTCCAAATCCTGAGCATTCTGTCACATCAGTGCAATTAGTCTCTACTAAGCCAGGGGTTAGCTTGACATGAYGCACATATAAAATCAAGAATATATGTAAGCCTTAACTAAATACTTCATCTTTATCTTCATATCCCAATTCATTACACAATCCCAGTATTTAGCCATAGATATCTAAAATCTTGTTTTAATGAAAGACAAGATTTCAGTGAATAATTTGCCAGAAAGAATTAAATGTTGGTACAACTTCAGAAAAACAACTGGAAAGAAGGAAATGAGTAATCCCATAGGAAATCAGGAAACTTAATTAAGAAATATTGTCATTCATACTGCTTATCTGGATAACCAGAAGTAGTGAAATGAAACATGAGGARTTCTGCCCATACAGCCTCACTGGGTATTAAAATGTTACTATCTGTTCTGTTGGCTGCAGACAGAAAATTCTTTATAATTGTTATCATGCATTTAGTATGTTGTTTAAAACTTATTTCTGCATGAAGCTTCATATGCTTCACAATTTTATCCCACACTGTGGGGAATATTAAACAAGCATCCCTAATACGGAGTCTTTTCAGATCATCTGCCATCAACAGAAAARGATGTCTATAGCAGCCAGGACTGCATCCTCTATGAGGTCTGCATCGAAGACAGAAGCTGTTCTGGGGTTATAGCAAGAAGGTGGGTAATGGGCAGTGCTCTCTGAAAATGTAATATCCTTGGGAAAACATGTAAAATCAGAACTCCTTAAAATGAAAAAAAAAAAAAAAAGAATAGTGAAATTTGCATTGATGTGCTGTGTAGATCAGTAATCCTTAGCATTATCTGTTTCTTTGAGAAAAAATTTAGTTTTTATGTGGCAGCATTTTTCCCTCTAAAATGAAGAGACAAAGGCTGCAATTAAAGATACAACAYTATAAATAGGCAAGCATACAGCAGAGCAGTAAATAAAAGCCAGCAGTGCAAAGACAAGTGATCTCTGGGACAGTGGRATGTTGTGCTCCACAAAATCACTGCTACCCGCCTCCTGGCAAAGTCTGTTCCCTCCTCAACTGCAGCTGGAGATTTCTCAGAGATCTTCGTAATGCACAGAAAAGTGTTGAGATACTTGAGGTTCCTCCTAAAATGCGTGTGTGCTTTTGCAGCAAGGGCATAGCTCAGGAATCTGGGAATGCTTTTATGATGGTTTCATAGGCGGGAGGTGGGGTTTGTGTGGAGTGGCAGATGCGGAGGTTGTTGTTAGACCAGTGGAACTCGGGTCTGCTCAAGGTGTTGGTGGTGCTCCCCACGAGGGTTGTGGTGGTGTTTGTGGGGGTGAGGGTGATCAGCTGACTGTTCGTCTCCACAGGCAGGGGAGGGCACTGCAGGAAAGGGTGGAAGGTGGATGCGCGGAAGCTCGACTTCCTGGGGAAAGAGTTGGCCTGCTCCAAGGAGGCTTGCCGCTGGAAGGTGAGGCTGGCCAGGCTCAGGTTGCTCCGACGTTCGCAGCTGCTGTTGCGGTAAAATCCAGTCCTGCTGGCAGCGTGGCCGTGGGAGGAAGGTCTGGAACGACGGCTGAAGGTCGAGGGGCTCCCCTGGGAAATGTGGGCGCTAGCTCTGCGACGGGACAGGCAGGTGAAAAACGCCCAGATGATCCCTCCAATCACCAGACCAATCACCATGGACACTGTGAAGGCTATGGTTATCTGCTCTGAAATATAGCAAAAATTAATGTCAAAGTAACTTCATTAATTGAAGGGTATTCCTGCAAGAAAATTAATTTTAAATTCTAGCCTCCTTAAAAGATGAACCGGCCCTTAGATCTTTGCATCTGGTGACACATGAACTTCACAACACAAACACAGCGGTTCAGAGTGCTCTTACTATACAGCATTTCAGTGTTTTGTGGAGTTTTGTTTATGTGGTTTTTGTTCCTTTTTTCTTTTTCTTTTTTTTTGGTTGCTTAATTTCCATAATTCAACAGCATCCAGAAAATAACTTATATTTAATTTTCGTTTCTGTACTAAGCCAAGGAAAGTCTTTAGCCTTTCCCAGAATTAGCCACCCACCAGCTCCAAGTATTATAACACTGCCAAGTATTTCATTCGGTGGCCATAGGAGGTGTGGATTTAGGCAGACTTGTCCTTCTGGTTATAGACCTTTATGCTCTGTGTGTACGTGTTTGCAAACTCACTTATTAAAACAATGATCAACTTCTGCCATGATCTTAGTGGAGTGAGCCCTGCATTTATTACAACATGAGAATGCTTCCCAGCCTTTTACTGCTGAGCAACAGACAGTTTACATCCTCATAGTAATTAATGTAAATGACTGCATCCTAAATTATTATGGTCAGCGATAACCATTTGTAATACTAAGTCTCTTGAATATTTCCTATTCCCAATGYCCAATTTAAAGATGAGTTCATCTGCCATCAAGAAAAGTAAATTTCCAGCTCTTTTAGAGAGGTTTTCAAGGATTACAAGATCTGAAAAGAAACAAACAGAAAAACAAAACCTGTAGCTAGGATTGTTTTCTCTCCCACATGGTTTCCCATGTTTCTTTCCTTGTATATTTCTAAGAAGAGGACAGTTCAGAAAACTTCACTGAGTTTGCAACTGAGCACCAGCATTATTGCTGCTCTAAAAAGTTCAGAGATATATTTGTAATCCTGAATAAGGCCTGAAATGAATGCAAAACATTTATAGATCCTCTCAGAATGCAAAAAGGGCTTGGATCTAAAACAAGAAGGAACACYATGTTGACAACTGGTGGAGCAAAGAAGGAATAAGCAAAATATATCCATGGGACACCTTGAAACATGTTTGTTCTGTCTGTACTCTTCTATTATATTTGTGAAGTATTCTTTTGTTTAAGTCAGCCTTAAACTTAGGACAGGTCACTGCAGGAGCAGGGAAAGAACATTAGCTTTGCTGATAGCAGGAGAAATGTAAATGGTTATTGGTTAATTGCACTTTAAGAAGTGGTTATCATTATCTTCCTTGTCTGCTTTCCTACTTTTCTCCCTTTGGGGAAAAGCTGGTAGAGATGTGATTCATACTTGGAAGGCTACAAAATCTTACTGTTCCCAGCTCATAACCTCTGCTTTTAGGGAGGCTTATAACATTATCCTTTTCAAATAGAGACTGGCGAGGATAATGCATTGGATATTGAGGATAATGCATTGGATATTGTTGCAGGGGACTGCTCCCTCTCAGGAACACTTTGTTGCCCTTTTATTCGGAGATGGATCAGACTTGACCCTAAAAGACAATTTTGCTTTAAGCCCTCATTTCTACAACTCAAAAACTTTTGACTGGGCACACAAAACACAAAGAGCGACTGCCCGGTCTGCTTCCTGCAGGAACCCACAGGCAGCATCCTGCACTTGGCTTCAGATCAGATCACTATAAGCAGCCTTCTTCTCACAAATTCACGTGTGATTCTGCCCTTTACAAAACATCTTTAGAGATGCAGCAGGACTTACTGTGCCCTTTTGGTCAGGAAAAACTTATTATGCCATTTTAATATATTTAATGCATTCTGTTACTGCAAGTTCCTACTCATACTCCCAAAGGTGGGAAGGGAGAGCCAGGACTTGGTGACCTCYAGTTGAATAAATCCCAAGGGTAGTCCTGAAGAAGCACTTCCCACGCACTAGAGCTGCAGTCTGAGTACCCCTACTGCTGCCCCTGCATAGCTGTAGGAAAGTGGAGCAAGAATTAATCCTTTCTTGTGCTCATTTCTTCTGCACTTCAGCTCGAATTCTAGTTAGGTTATGATATTTGAGGCTGCCAAGGAATCCCCCAGGCACAGTGCTGCCACCCGATATCCCTGCAACTCTTTGGGCTCTCAGCTGGCAAAGGGGATCTCCACAGGGCTCAGCAGCCTGGAGCGTAAGCACAAGCACAGCAGGCAGCCCAAGTGTCCCTGGCTCTGGGGCTGCCATGCACCATGGTGAGGATCTGTCCCTGCATCCCTCGAGCCATAATTTTCACCACCTGCACAATCTAACCAGAGTTTCCCACTGTTAAAAGCAGATGAGGGAATTGACAAAAGTATTGAGTGCAGCTCTACAGTCCTTCCCACGTGCTGTTCCCCTGTGCTGGRGGTTCAGCACAGACAATTATCTCTTTGGATAATGGCGTCATTTTCTTTAACTTGTTTAGTTCTTTTTTTTTTTTCTATCTCCATGTATGTTGTAAAAATAGAGGGTCAAATTATTCCTTGATGAAGCTCAGCCGGGTTTACACTGGCTGTTTAGGTTGCCATATAGGGTTCCAAATGCTCTCTTTTCCATTTGGATCTACATTTAATCCCCTTGGATCTTATTACAGAAATATCACTAGACCCATTGCTTACAGACATTTGACTTTTTCTCTTCCCAAAATCTCACTGACTTCAGTAGGAACTGTGGGTCACACTAATGGGCCAAACTTGTTCTTTGCTYACTCCCTGCAGAGGATGAATTTCACAGAAATATAATTCAGTTCTATAACCTTTCATTGTAGAATTGTAAATCTATGCTCATCRATTTCCTTTTTAGAATGTCCAGCAATCATAGCCCTGAGGTACATTGGAGAAAATATTATCAGAGAGAAAGATCAAAGGCAGAGTGGGACTTGCTGCACCTGGGATTTGCTGCACCTGGGATTTGGAGGGGAACAGCTGGCCTTCACCAAATTGTTTTTCTCTTCCTTAATCTGGGCAGTGCCAGAGCAGAAGCAGCCTTCCAGGGAGTCAGTGATATGACACAAAGTGTCTCCCAAAGGGCCGTTGTACTATCTTATGGTTTCCTGAGAGCTGTGCATATCATTCTGTCCTGTGCTTTTAAGGAAAAAGAGTAAAAAGAAAAATCTGGGRTAAGTTAGGAATGCTGCTAATGACAACAACTACCCAGGTACCAGGCCCCTAAATATATTTTTATCTCTATGCTTCTCAGGCTGCTCACATCAACTGCTTTATTTGACTGAGCCATCACCAACAAGGTTTTGTACCTCACCTCAGTCAATTTTGTTCCTTGACCTCAGGAAACCCTTGGGACTTGTGTRTCTCCTATACTTTTATGGTAAGTTCCCCAGGCTGTAAAATTAAGGTGGGCACAGGGTCTTCCTTCCCCCCATGCTCAAAAATATATACATTGGGAAAGTTTGCAGCTGGCCATGATGGAACAGTAGAGCCTTTCACATGAGCAGCACCTTCAATGAGAGCATCTCAGATCAGGAAGGGTGGGGTGGAGAAAGACAGGAGAAATGAATGCAAGGGAAAAAGAAATGAAAAAGCATCTTTTAGTCAAGCTGTGGTGCACACATGGTGCATTTGGACTGCATCTTTGCCAATATTAGCTAATAAAGATAATAAAGCTAATAAAGCTAATAAAGCTAATAAAGAACCAGCCAGCTTTCCAAGCATCTGTTCTGCTCATTTTATTGCTAGGCCCAAGAATTCAGAAAACACCCACAGGCTGAGATGATACCCTCACACCTGATTTGATTTCTAATGGGTGACTTTCAAATATTACAATCTTTATGTTTTGGAGCTGTKAATTGTTGTTGTTGTTATTGTATTGTTCTTGTTTTATTTAAAGAGCAAAAAGTAAGCAGTTGTCTTGGTTTTGGCCAGCACAGTTAATTTTTCTGCAATAGCTGTGAGGGAACAGAACCTGGAGCTGTGTGGGCATGTCTAGGTTGTTATTCTATGTCTGTTTATAGGGCAGATGTAAGGGACTCTCGCTTCCAGGAAGAAGGGTGTGGTTTCAGGTGCAACAAAAAGTGTGGCAGGGTAGGGAACCTGTTGGTTCATTGTCTCTGGGTCATGCCATGTCAGACTGGTCAGTGAACTTTTTTTTTATTTTTATGTGTGAATTACCCATTTTCTGTGTCCTTTTGTTATTATTATTGTTGGTGCTACTRTTTTGTTATCTCATTGCTGTCGCCAGTAAATTGTTCTTATCTCAACCCATAATTTTCACCATTTTGTGCATCCAGTTCTCAACTCCACCCTTGGAGAGGGAATTGGAAGGGGAGGGCACTAGAGAGTGAGCAAATGGAGTCTGGTTTGGGAGAGTCTTGGAGTGGGGACACTAAAGTGTGGAGTGCCATTCCTAGACCACAACAGAAGTTTTATTTCAAAGTTATTAGCAGTGGTAAGGTAGCTTGTCACCCAGGATGGCATTGTTCAGCGTTTAAAGTCAGCTTTCTATAGAGACATTTTACTCATACTGCATCAGAGTAAGATTCTGTTAATTTACTTAAACATCTGAGAGTAATTTTCCAATTTTTCTTTTTTTCCACCTGCCCCAAACCAGGATGAGMCATTGTGCATCTGGCATGCAAATCTTATCCTATGGGGACTCCAGCAAGCTCAGATGTAAAACATACAAGCTCATTGATTTCAGCTGTATTAGCAATGAGAAATATCAGAACATTCCTCTGTGACATACAATGGAAGACAGTTATTTTTATATTTTCAAACAATATTTTAGAATTCTAAATTTATTTCCATTTTAATTTTTCCTTCTCACATTTTTGCTAGCTCTCTCTCCTTTRTGCGATGTTATATTCCAGTTAATCAAAACTTGTTTAACTTAGTAAGCGTTCCTCTCCCTACACACASACACATTTGCACAAACTTCAGCTTGCCTTGACCCGAACCTGAAAAGCCTTGATAACTAGTAGAGGGTTTGATCTCAAACATGAAAAAATCAGCYCA